ATTTGGCACCGGTATCGGATAAAACCTAAACGATACCCATCCCTAGTCCTGTTACAGCCCCTGCTGCACTCAATTCCTATTTTCTTGCCCGATCTCTCTTTGCCTGCCTCTGATTTCCTTTCATCACCCTCGTGTGCCAATTTCTATACAGCTCTTTTTCCACGCTACACATTCATCTACCCTCCCCTTCTGCTCCTTCCATCTCCAATTTCTCTGCAGCGCTCCTGTAGTGAACGTCTGAGCCCTTTGTTGTTGTCTCACCTGTTGAAGTGAGTGAGAAGAGTCGTAGACTGTAAGCTTACAGAACTTGACTCACCACCTCTCAGAGGCAGATCAGGAGAAATGTTGCCCTTTGGGAATCACATGGAGGTTGAGCCGAGGGCACAAAGAACTCAGAGGACTGATAGCCAGTGATGGGAATAACGGCATTACTTCTTTCATTAACGAGTAATCTAACTAATTACTATTCCTATCATTACAACGCTGTTACAGTTACTAACAAGAAAATGCGTTTGCGTTACTATTCTTCAACAAACAGACGGTTGAAGCTGTGTTCAGCTTACCGCACCTTATATCAGCTGCAGGAAGTAGCTGTAAGTAATCTGGACGCTACAGCTTTAAGCGGCTGCGCGCTCCCGCGGACGGTGATCACGATCACTGTCTAGAACAACACCTGGAGCTAAGGGGGCAAAACAATCGCATGAGTGCTGCTGTTTGACTGAGGAAGAATAAAGTAGTCGTGGTAAGCCAATCACATGACCACTTAAAGACAAAGCAACAAGGTGACATATACCAGTTTATAAACTGTGTTGATAGGCCAGTAAAACCAGAGTCATGATAAACAATATATACGCGTGTTTTTCCTCAATAGTTTGGTCACGTTTACTGTCTAAGGACAGCGCAGCGAGCACTCTCTGCTTATGAGCAAAAAAACAAAAAAAAAAACAGGGGAAGTTTTAGGAGAGAGAGAGACAGCAGAAAAACAGAGAGAAGGAGTTTTGAGATGTGAGAGATTTGTGACGTTTAGTGTGTTTGGAGTGTGTAGTTAATGTGTAGTGTTGTGACAATGAGGCGACTGCTGTCTCCAGGTAGAAACAGGAGTGATACACCTGCTGCTGTCAGACCTGCAGGTATCAGCCTGTGATGTTCTCCTTTATAGTGGACAGAAATTATTTTTTTGGAGTGGCACAAATAATTTGTGTGGCATCTTATTGAAATTTGTCTGATTTTAGATCAGTTGTGTTAATACAGTATGTCAAAATGAAAACCTAACTGTAAATTCAGACACGAAAATCAAAAGTAGTTAAAAATGGCCAATTATACCCTGGAACCCAGAGGGTTAAACTTTTTTTTTTTGTTTAGGCTAACCCAATAGTTACTTTTCAAGTAATTAATTACTTTTAGAATATTGTAACTCAATTACTAACTCAGTTACCTTTTTGAAGAAGTAACTAGTGACTATAATTAATTACTTGAAAAGTAACTTGCCCAACACTGCTGATAGCAGGATACCTGAGCCCTGCTGTGTTTCTCAAAGCTTTGCCCCCGTAGCTTGATAATGCTTTCTTTCTCCTTTCCTTGATCCTTTGGCATTTTTTGGTTGTCATTTTCTAAATCTGTTAATGACTGAAATATCATTATCATTAACAGATATACAGTAATTCTCCAACTGCCCCTGCGGGCGGTTTATCCTTCAAGCTCGGGTCCTCTACCAGAGGCCTGGGAGCTTGAGGGTCCTGCAGTATCTTAGCTGTTCCCAGGACTGCGCTCTTCTGGACAGAGATCTC